TTTTCTCTATATACCCGTACAAAAACACTCGATGTAACATTTTACTCAATATTAGCGTACAAGTACACCCGATGTAACATTTTACTCTGTATTAACGTTTAAGTACACTCGATGTAACATTTTGATCTATCTACACGTTCAAGTACACTCGATGTCACATTTTTCTCTATCTATACGTACAAGTACACTCGATGTAAAATTTTACTCTATCTACACGTACAAGTACACTCGATGTAACAATTTTCTTTATATTACACGTACAAGTACATTTCGATGTAACATTTTGATCTATTTACACGTTCAAGTACATTCGATGTAACATTTTACTCTATCTACACGTACAGGTACACTCGATGTAACAATTTACTCTATATTGCACGTACAAGTACATTTCGATGTAACATTTTGATCTATTTACACGTTCAAGTACATTCGATGTAACATTTTACTCTATCTACACGTACAGGTACACTCGATGTAACAATTTACTCTATATTACACGTACAAGTACATTTCGATGTAACCTTTTGATCTATTTACACGTTCAAGTACACTCGATGTAATATTTTACTCTATATACACGTACAAGTACACTCGGTGCAACATTTTACTCTGCATGTACAAATACACTCGATACCCATACCTACTTTGATATTCGTCTGGTAATTTGCATATGAAATAAATTCTTCCTTTGTATTAGGGATTCTAGTTAGCAATGGAGCCATATTGGAAAAGCGGCTTGAAAATTCGAACGATTTTTAATGTACATAAACTTGATATTGAACTATATCAACTGATTGATTTTCATTATACTGATTATTTTCAGTGTCATATAAGGTAGTATAAATACAATCATAAATCATTCATTTTGATTTTTGTACGTCATATGTTTGGGTAATGAACAACTTTTCTTAAACTTCACAATTCATTCGTATTTGTTCAGGAAAGTTATTGTACTTTAAAGACAAAGGTTTGTTTAATAGAATGGCATAACACATCTGATTCTTAGATCGTTAGATATAGGGCATTAGAAATTAATCATATTCGTCCATGATATTATTAACTCAGGACGAACATATGAAGAACCTTGTACGAGAACAAGATGATATCAAATAAAGAGGACAACTTTACATGTATCTTAAACGCTTTTCAGGCGTTTGTTATGTAGTTCCATATTTTCTGAATTAAAAACAAAAATATTACACATTATCTCTGAACACAACAGATCAGAAGAGAGAACCTGCTCGTATTGCTGTATAGAGTCGGTTATGAAAATGGAGGTTTTGTTCCAGGATGAAAAAAACAGTCGATAGGAAAATCTGGTGTTGATATGTAGATGTAAATTACGTAGTCACACGATTTTATATGTAGTCAATGTGTGGTTTGTATTGAAAAAGATAGTCGTCTTTGTTTTAAATCCTATCACAAAAACTCTGTGAGTAACCCGACCATGGCGTCTTGGAGGATTGAGTAACTGTGGAATGTGTCGCCGTTGCCATCAGGACTAGTGACGTTTAGTTTCTATTCAGAACCGCGCTTTCGCAAGGAGGCATGTACATAGGCTGTGTTCAGGACACATACACGCATACATACATATATACCACATAGAGGCACGTCCTTAAATTACCATAGCTGTTATAATGGTAAACCTAGTAACACCAAACCAAACCTAAATTACCATAGCTGTTAGGATGGTAAACCTAGTAACACCAAACCAACCCTAAATTACCATAGCTGTTAGGATGGTAAACCTAGTAACACCAA